ATCATCACCTTCAAATTTCTTTTGTGTTTAATTTACAAACTTGTCTTTGGGATTGTAAACTTTGGTTATGATGTATTTAAATTTTAAAATGTATGGTTGTGTTATTTATACTCTATTGCTATGAGACTCTACCTGCCATACCTCGCGTTTCCGCTTTAGTGTGGTGTGACAGATAGGGATGAACGAGTTTAAAAGTTTTTAAGAGTTTTATGAGTTTTAAGAGTTTTTAAGAGTTTTAGCCAAATGCTTTATAAGATAGTATAGATAATATAATTTAAGTTTGATAATGAAATAATTTAATTTTGGTTTAATATTATAAATTCTATAAAGATAATATTTAAGTATTCTATTATGATTCAATGATTATCCTACTTATATTTTAGATTTTTAATATGTAAAATGAAATGTTTATCCTGTATTTGATTATGTTTATCTGCATTTAGTTACACGAATTCAGATATGGAGCTTTAATAAATTGTACTTACGCACAATATACTTGCAATCTTGAGTTTTAAGTAATATGCACTAATAAACAGTACTTTACGCATAAAAAGTGGTTTTTAAGAGCTTTTGTCAAATATTTTATAATATAGTATAAATTATGTATTTTTAAGAAAACAATAATGATTTTATTTTTGAATAAAATATAAATTTGAAGACATCATAAAAATTTGAAAAAAATTATATCAATATTAATATAAAATCAAATATTTAAAAGTTCTCATTTTTTATATAATTTCTTTAATTTATTTTTTATTACTAGAAGCGTACTCGTGCAATGTAGCGAGATACATCATGATTTTAATATTTCATTTTATTCTTTATCTTAGTCGATGTTATAATATGGCTTTATGTGATTTTGAGAAAGCGATGATGTTTTTATTTTTGAATAAAATATATATTTGAAAATATCATAAAAATTTGACAAAAATATATCGATATTAGTATCAAGAGATTATCAAGATTTATGCAAGTTCATCATATGAACTTTGACTTGATCAAGTCAATGATTTTGGAGAGAATATAAATGATAAAACAAAGATTGGATTTTGGTTGTTTATGTCAAATATGTTATATTAAGTTGAGATTCAGAAGTTGGAATAGTTTGGAATCGAAATGGTTTGAGAAAAATGTATGAAAATGAGAATTTCGACTTAAGAATGCACGAAAAATGTGCAGACTTTGAAGAACTGTATAAAATCACTGAAAAATCCAAATGAGGTGAGACCAATTTCCTTAGTTAGATAATTGAGTCTAGTTTATTTCTTATTTTATCATCAAGGCATGAATTCGAGTTTAAAATAGGCAAAATAGTTCTGCATGCAGCAGTTGTATATAGAAATTTAGGTAAAGGGTTCAAATAGGATATGTGTATATCATGAGTTTCTTATATTGGTTGCTTATGAGATTTTGTACATTTACTCCAGGGGGGGAATTAGGACATATTTTGATGCTTTGGAAGCAATCTAAGTGTGGTAGCTTGGACTTGCTTTGTGAGCTCATTTTGGAGCTTTTCGGTATTATACGGTTGCCCGATGAGTTATATAGTTAATTGTTACATATTGTTTTGAACACATATATTTTCATACGAATGTTTTTGGTCTTGAATTGAGTCACACAATCTTGACTTGTCTTTGATTCCGTCTCTTGAGTCTATTCCATATTACTATCTCGGTACATCGGTTTGCTTTCCGGATCCGGGCTCGTTGTTTTGTTTCTTGAATTGTACGCCATAGTACAGGTACTACTTCGTGTGGCACGCCGGAAGTTTATGGTGAAGTCAAGATCCCGGGTTGGATGGGTGAGACTTTCTGCGGTTGTGAATACTCATTGCTCAAAAAGGAGGAAGAACAATGAGTAGGGAACCTGGGCATATACCCGGTAGAGGAAGGCGGACAGTGCGAGGTTTCCCGTAATGTACGGTTCTGCGGTTTAATTCATTTAAACCATTGGTAAAATGCACAAAATAAGAATCTACTTTCATAAATTTCTTTATTATGGCATTGTACTTTCAGTTTTTCTTATTACAACAATGTATTTTCAAACTATTTTTTATTAAGACATTATACTTTGAAAAATTTACCCATTATAGCGTTGAGTAACCTTTTGATTTAAATTTACCCATTATACTAGGTTTCCATGCCACCTTATTGTACACGTAAGCTGTCCATATGTACTATAGTGATGTGACTTTCTTACTACATCATTGTACTTTCAAAATTATTTTATTATAGCATCTACTAGTTCTTATCAAACACTGTATTTTAATTTTAATATTTAGATATTTTACATGTTATGTAATAAATGTATTAAATGAATTAATTTTTTTTTTCAAATCATTCATTAATATACCAATATCAATAAAACTAGTAGAACACAACTTATCTCGCTAACATTTTTAAAAAAAATATGTGTTTTTTGAAAAAAGAAAAATAAGAATTGTTCATTTTTTACCAAAAAATATTATTTTTTAAAGAATATATTATATTTGTTCAAACACTTTTACTTGACGAATAAATATATTAAATTAATTAGACTTTTTGAATTATTTATTAATATAACAATATTAAAAAATTGCAGATAACAATTAATTTCGTTAATATTTTAAAGAGAACTTTAAAATATATGTATTTATTTGAACAACATAAAATATGAAAAATTACCTTTTTTATAAACAAAATATATCTCAAAAATAATGTTTCATATTTATTTAATAAATATTTTATTCTAAGAATATTTAATTTGAATACAACTTAATAAGAAAAAGTAAAAAAAAATTAAATGTTTTTTTAGATTATAGCAATGAAAAAGAAAAATCACTAATAATAATTTGAAATAGGTTTTTTTTTAAATTTTAGTTAAGTCATCAAAATAATGTGGCATCCACATCATTTCATTAAAGCCACACAAACAAAAAAGTCAAAGGATTAACCGATTTAAAAGGTAACAGGTTATCCATTGCTATTATGAGTTGAATTTTTAAAGTACAATGCTTTAATAAATAAAATTATTGAAAGTATATTATTCTAATAAAAAACAAAACTAAAATATTATAATAATTTTTTTTATGAAAATAGGTTGCTATTTCATGTCTTTTATCCCTTTAAATCATTTAAGATAACTTGTGGGCCTTGCTGATTCCCTAAAAAGTAAAACCGGAGGGAAAATTACTATGAACCATAGGGGGAAAGTTACTGCATGGTATCTAAAACTAAAACCCCCTTGCGACTATGAGACTTATATCACTTATGAACAAAATATGATCATCAAAGTATATCCTATAATTATGTTCTAATCGGACTTGTAGAAAGAAGGAAGAGGCCTACGGTATCCAGGCAGATGTACACAACCAACCAAAACAGTAGTCGAAGTTTGACAGACGCAAACTACTAGGTCATTCAATACCAATTGGGTTTCGGTTAATTGTAATCCGTTGGTCGACGGTTTTTGTTGGAAATCTTTGCACTTGGCATCAACTGAATTTCTTGTCAAAGATAACCTAATCGTATGCCTTTTCACCTTCGAATTTGTAGGTCGTTGGTTTGGCGTATTATTTCAATTGTATGAGCTTGGATCTGGAGATTGCTGGAGTGCTACGTGTTTATCTTATATAGGTTTTGATAGAATTGGGGGATTTGTTGTTGCTTTATGCTTGATGAGATGAAAGAGGTGGACAGATCTGAGCATCCAGGAACTGTGGTAAAGAAAAAAGGCTCTTCTGGGTGTTTGATTACTAAAAAGAAGGTAACAGATAGTGTGAGAGGGGCTAGTGGGTTTAGTGATTCATCTTCGAGGAATCTGTTCAAATCTTCAAAGAAGAAAAGGAGACGCCGAGTTGTTGGGAGTGATTCAAAGTCAATTGATAACCAATCGGAAACTATGCGCCAGAAAGTTGATAGCTTTCGTAATGGTTCGGTTGTTTACCAGGCGGCTTATTTGGAAGATGAAGAATTTGGGATCGAGAAAAGGGTAAGTAATGGATTAGATGTATTTGAATTTGATGAGTATGATGGGTTTGATGAGAGAAGAATTAGGAAGGATGCTAATGATGGTAGCCACAGGTGGAAGTTATATAGGCGAAGTGGTGACTCAATGGAATCTGGAAACGGTGGTAGCGGGATGAGTGCTGATATAGGAAGTGACTTCCATCACAATAAGAAGAGTACCTTGTTTGCTACCGACTGTAGCAGGCCTACTTATGGCGCTGCAAGTCGGTCTGAGATGGAGGATGATGAATCAGACCTACCCCTTTCAGTTTTGAGTAAGAAGTACCGATTATCTTCAAAGAAACCTATTAGATTGCAAGGGAAAAATGGTGTTTTGAAGGTAATGGTAAATAAAAATAAGCGTATGGGTGTTTCACGTAGAAGTTCTGATCATGCGGAAGTTGAAGATCAGAAAGAACCCATGCTTAGAGTTCTGCAAAAGAAAAAGTTGAATGCGTGCGTTCAAAGCAGTGAGCATAGGACGAAAGATGGACAGAGTTCCAGGTCTGAAGATACTAACAAGAACAAAGCAGCGATGGGAACCTCATTTTACTCAAATTCTAAGTTTGCTGGAAAGCCTGCCATGTCCAGAACTAAGGAGAAAGGTGGGCTAAAATTTCTAAAATCAAAGCTGGCAAACTCCAGTAAGGAGATCAATGAGGGTGACACACTAATGCATTTGAAATCATGTAGCAGAGGGGAAGTGGTTAAAAATGAAGGAATTATTAGCCCACTGACAGAGAATGCTAACCGAATTAAGGGAAAGGAAAGCAAGGTTAAGCGAGGTAGTAGGACTGAAAAGCAATTATTAAGAGAGAAAATTAAGAATATGCTTTTTGCTGCTGGCTGGACCATTGATTATAGGCCAAGAAGGAACAGAGACTACCTGGATGCTGTCTATATTAGTCCTCCTGGAACTGCTTATTGGTCTATAATTAAAGCTTATGAGGCCCTTCAAAAGGAAGAGGAAGAATATTCTAAAGCTGAAGGGATTTTTACTCCTTTAGCTGATGAAATACTTGGTAAATTAACAAGGCAAACCCGGAAGAAGATAGGAAGGGAAATGAAAAAGAAGAGAAAAAGTGAAGACAGCAGTAGGAATTCGAAAAAAGCTGAAGTGAATGAAGTAGCTGACAATGCAGACAGTAACTGGGAGGAAGAGAAACTGAATTCATATGTGAAGCATAGCCGTAAGTCGAAGAAAAACAGAATAGAGGAAGATAGTCAGAACAGTGATGATGATTCAAGTGAGAATTCTTACAACGAAATACCCAGGAATGATAGGGCTGCAAAGGCAACTGTTAGTACCAATTCTGACACAGTACATGGAAGAAAAAGTAGGAAAATTGGCAAATGTACTTTGTTGGTTCGCAGTTCTGACAAGGGGCCATATTCAGACAATTATGGGCTTGTTCCCTATTCAGGAAAGCGAACCCTACTTTCCTGGTTAATCGACTCAGGAGTGGTGCATATGAGTGAAGATGTGCAATATATGAACAGTAGGAAGACACGAATAATGCAAAAAGGCAGGATTACAAAAGATGGAATCCATTGTGGTTGCTGTAGCAAAATTGTACCGGTGTTGAAGTTTGAGCTACATGCAGGAAGCAGACTTCACCAGCCATTTCCAAACATTTATTTGCAGTCTGGAAAATCACTGATGCAGTGTCAGATTGATGCATGGAATAAACAAGGAGAGTTGGAGCAAAAGGGGTTTTACACTGTAGATGTTGATGGCGATGATCCTAATGATGATACGTGTGGTTTATGTGGCAATGGTGGGAATTTGATCTGTTGTGATGGTTGTCCATCAACCTTTCACCAGAGTTGCTTAGACATACAGGTACCATATGGATACTTATGTTGCAAAACTCATGCACCCTTTAGTTCCTAAATTCAAAATCCCCTAATCTCTTTTGTACTTTCATTCTCAGTATGTAAGTATATAGCATAACATGTGTGCCATTGCAAATAACACACGTGTTCCATAATTGTGAGGATGGGTGGTATTTCCATGAATAGGACCAGCAGAAGAGTTATCTGTCACTATTTTCAGCCACCATGGGTTTCTAGACTTGAGGGGAAAGGGTATTCACACAATAACATAGGATTTCTGTAACTTAGGATGATAAATTGGACATCTTTTGAAATCTCACTTGACCCACTTGTGAATGCATGTTTCTGTTGGAACACTACCGATGATTTTATGGAACAGAACATAGAGGTGATTCACGGAAAAATTTCATTAAGCTAAATATAGTCCAAATGCATGCCACTTATTGTTAAAAGCATGGTGCCTGTCATTGATAATGCAGATTGCAGCTGTTTGAGCCCTTTTTTGTTTTAAGCATCAATGGGCCTAACATTCTAAATGCTCTCGCAGCTGCCCAACTATGAATCTGTTTAAGAGTTCCAGACACTACAATGAATGGGGACTTTGACATCAACTGGGTTTTATCCTGGCTCGATATTTAGGGCTATCACCAAAGTTGATTGTTGGGACATTCACCGGATCTGATAGTTAGCACTTTATGCACACTTAAAATTTGGAAATTTCACGGTGTTTGTAACATGACCTTGCCTACACATGGTCTTCCTGAACCAATCATAGAATTTGGAACATTTGCTAGATTGAATTTTCATAATCTTTGCTTGGCGTGGAATTTTGAAGCGTCACTAGGCTTGAAATTGAAACCTTATAATGGCTTGTAATTGGAATATTCACTAAATATGGAGGCTGGGTAATGAGGAGCCTAAAAATAGGTGCTCCATAGTTGGAATTTATATTTTTATAAAAAATTGTCCTAATTGTGAATAATTTAATTTCATGCTGACGATGCATTATATTTGAACATATAGCTTCGTAACAACATCAATTTCTCATCTTTCCCTATCATTTCAGATGCTTCCGCAAGGAGACTGGCATTGTCCAAATTGTTCTTGCAAATATTGTGAAATAGATGGTGGGAATTGCACCGAAGTCTGTGATAAAAATGAAGCTTCACTTTTTGTGTGCTGCCTTTGTCAGAAGAAATGTACTCTCTCTTAGAAAGTATTTGTCTTTATTTGTTCTAATATGTTTGTTTTCTTGTACTCTTTAGAACTGCTGGTTGAATACAACTTCCTGATGTTGCAGATCATGAATCATGCAGGCCAGAGACTGATCTCAAGCCAACTGAACCCAATCATCTAAACTTGTTATTCTGTGAACAGAAGTGCCAAGAGGTACTGAAATCCTCTACGATATTCTTAAAGTTTTGAGGATCACAATCTCATTTTGGGAAGTAGAACCATGTTGGTGTTAAGTTTCATCTTAACCTGTGTCACATGAATATAAATATGCACACATCCATATAGATTTTTGTGTATGTAAACTGAACAAAGAGGCTGTGGAAAAGACTACTCCTTGTTACTTTGAATGAACAGGGAATACAAACAATTTATAGAAAAGCTGCTACCTAATAGAAGGAAAGATTGAGGAAATCACTAGGAAATCAAACTTATTACAACAGAATATTCACACACATTTACAGCAGGATATAATTACTTCCTAATATACTTTCCAACACTCCTCAAGCTAGAAATAGATTATCAATGATTCCCAGCCTGCCAACTAAAACTTCAAATTCTGGTTTGGAGAGTGCCTTGGTGATAACATCAACTTCTTGCTGCTTTGATGGAACTTGATAGATAAGAATTGTCCCTGAATCAATTTCATCTTTTATCAAACCCCTATCAGTTCTCCCAAGCTTCATTTGGTTATGTTGGACAGGATTGTGAACTATACTGACTGCTGAGCTGTTTTCACTATACAACTTCATAGGACCGTTTATAGGGACCTTTAGGTCTTTCAAAAGCTTCTCTATCCAGATTACTTATCTATCTAGATTACTTCAACAGTGCTTTTTTGCCACTAAAGATTGTTTTTTTTTTTCCTTTTCCAAGTGACTATATTTTCCTTACACTTTTAAGCAATAGCCTATTGTGGACTTACTGTCTTCTAATCCACCCCAGTCAACATGATCTACAAATCCCTCAACATCTTGTTTCCTTCCTTTCGTAAACAAAATTCCCTTTGAGGTATTTCAAAATTCTGCTTCAAGATGTCTTTTAGTAGGACAATGCTAAACTGACTTACTACACCCACACTGTGGGTAACATTGGGCTTAGTAAATTTGAGATATATTAGCTGTCCCACCAATCACTATTATCTGCCCCGGTCTACTACAGAGTCATCATTGATGACCTTTTGCTTCCAATTTCTTTCTAATGGCGTAAAAGCAGGCTTACAACCAGTTTCTTGTAGCAAATCAAGGGTATTATTTTCTTTGAGTAACAAATATTCCTTGTTTGCTCTGGGCTACCTCCATTCCAAGAAAGTACATCAATGCTTTGAGGTCTTTAACTTGAAATTGAATCTTTAAATGAGCTTTTAACTTCTCGATCTCTTCTTGGTCATCACCAGTGATTATCTATCATCCACGTATACTATGAGAATAGCCCTCTTTCCACTTTTTCCTTGCTTGATGAGTAGAAGGTGGTCTGCTAATCCTTGTTTATACCAAGAGAATTCATTACTGAAGTGAATCTGGTGAACCAAGCATGTGGTGACAATTTTAGCCCATAGATAGATGTTTTGTGTCACAGACCTTGGTATTTTTATCATGAAATCCTCGAGGCATCTTCATTAATACTTCCTTTTCCAATTGTTCATTTAGGAAGGCATTCTTTTTGTCTTGCTGATAATGTTCCCGATCAAGGTTTGCAGCAAGAGAGAGTAATACCTTGATTGAGTTCATTTTTACTACGGGAGCAAATGTCTCCTCATAGTCAGTGCCTTGTGTTTGGGTGTATCCTTGGTCCACTAGTCTCGCCCTGTACCTCCCTACATCTCCATCATGTTTGAACTTCACAGTGAATATGCATCTGCACCCAACCACCTTTTTGCCTTGTGGAAGATCAATTATTTCCCAAGTATTATTCTTTAAGAGAGCATCCATCTCTTCTTCTACAACTACCTTCCATTTTGGGTCAAGACGTACACTATGAACATCCTTTGAAATGTCTATGCTGTCAACTGTAGTAAAATCCCTGTACTCATGAGACAATTTTGTATAGGTTTAGTGAGTAGACAAAGGGTACTGAGTGCACTTTCTTACTCATTTTCTGACGGTGATCGGAAGTTTTGGATTATCCCATTGCTTCGTACCTTCCCTTTGGAATCTGGAGCTACCTCCGATTCCAATGATCGAGCAGTTGGGGAGCAGTCGGCCTTCTTGAATAAGCTTTAAGTGGTTTATTGTTGATCGGTTCCCCTTCTTGATGTAATCCTTGATCATGTCTCATGGAGGAGGAGCTTGGATTGGATTGGATTGTTTGTAGGTAAAGATGGAGTAGGTGTAGGTAAAGATGGAGTAGGTATAGATACAAGGGCTACCAATAACTTCCATGATGTTCTTTAGTTGATTTATAGGTTACTGGGTCAGTTAATTGCTTTGGGCATAGGGCGTTACAGTACTGAATCTTTAAGAGAGCTAGCTTGCTATGTTCTGTTATTATAACTTGCAATCATGTGTTAATAGAATGGAATATCTTGTCACTGAGAATATGTTGCATGTTGTCAACGATCTGAATGGGCTACGATATTCTTGCACTTATATCAGAGGGGATTATCTCTTGGATTGACACTTCGGTGATCAATTTAGAATGAAGGTGATGAGAAATGTAGGAGAGAATATTTGTGCATGTAACTCAATCAATGAAAAATGTCTTCTTTTTTCGTTGGGGGGTTGGGGGGGGGGGTCATATGGCAAGGTTTAGGGCCCTTATAGTTTGAGTGTAGATATGAATAGGACTTTCTATCCTAATCTGACCTAGATAAGGTCTAAAGATAGTCATAGAAATTTTTGTGTAGTCTTTGGAAAGGTACTCCAATCTCCATGCAAGAGGGATTGCTAGACTCCATTTTCTTTCCATGTTAGAGGGCCAAAATTTCCTCTTGTAAGCTGTTATTATTTTGAAAGCTGTTCTCAAAAGGCTTGTCAGAATCTTAATAGTAGGATGTTTAACATTGCACGAGACCTTGGGTGGCTTATCACAGTTGTTTATGTGTCTCCTATCATTTGTCTCACACTAACTAATTAACATGACAATTATCAAGTGTACTGAATGTGTGCTTCCTTTATGACAGACCATGAAGATAAGCTCGTGTGTCGTCTGTCTTTTGAACATGTATATTCAGTGGTGCATCCAACTGGTTGGAGGATCGTTTGAAGTTTATACACTCAAGTTGGTTGGCATGGGTCTTCTATCTTTTACTAGTTTGGAATATGGTCTCTTATTTGTCTATTCTTGAGGATTCTCTAGAATTATGCTCAAATGCTATTGTGGAGAGTCTAGAAAGCTGAGTAGACTGGTGATTGGGTTTGCACTCAACTTCTTTGATTCCGTTGATGGTACTTCCTGGACGGTGGAAGGAATGGTTGAATAGGGGTGAAAGAGTGCCCCTACATGGGCTTAGTGAAACTGTATATGGTTCACTACGCAGTCACACTCAAGCTGTCAAGATCTCTATGGTAGGGGCAAAGGACAGGTTATGCAGGCTTTGTGAAGCCACATACATGCTCAGTTTGGTGTAGAGTGCTGTCAAGTGCTCTGCATGAGGAGCTTGACAATTGTGTAGGCTAGAGAGTGGTAATGGTTCACCTTTATGCAGGTTTATAAGAATACCCTAAATGGTCCAGTTTTTAGGGGCTCCCTTGAAGATGCTATAGCTTTGGTTTTTGGCTTTGTTGCGGACTTCACTAACATATTACATTGTTTTCTAGACTCCAACCATTACCCTAATTGTCACTTAGCTTAGGTTATTGTTTGTAATCACAAGGCAGAGGTATAACACCTCTCCAGGTTGGGGTTGTGATTTCTTATGGGCTTTATTGAGTTTCTCAAAGGCGTTTTGACCTTCACATCTTTTTGTTGAGGGTATCGTGAGGGAGAGAGTTGTTTCTAGCTTTGGACATGAACCTTCTTACTGCAACAACCTTTATGGTGACTTGTATGAACCTTCTTAGTGTTCCAAGGGGATGTCATATTCATTGTGGCTTAATCTTGTCTGGAATGGCTTCAATGCCTTTCATGGATACTGTGAGCCCCATGAACTCGTCGGATTTTACCTTGAATGCGCACTTGACAGGATTTAAGCACATGCGGTAGCTCCTGAGGACACCGTAGGTCTCCTTAAGGTCTTTGATATGTTAGTCGGCCAGAGGGCTTTTGGCCAACATGTTGTTGATGTAGACCTTCACACTACATCTATTCTCTTCTTGAAAGGTGTGGTTGATAAGGAGCTGATACGTTGCACTGCACAATAAAACCTAAAGGTGTGACCTTGCAACAATAGAGCCTATGGTTGGTGATAACGGTGGTCTTCCGTGCTAAGGTAAATCCTTGGCAATGGGTAGGAGTTCTTGGACATGCATCATTAAGGTTAGTGGAGCTGCACATACTCTTCACTTGTCAACGAGGTAAATTTTGTATGAATATCTGGAATCTAGGTTAGCATTGTGCTTTTGTGGTTACCCGAGGACTGATGTCAGAGATGTCTTTGGCTTTTCATGCTAATAGGGTTTGTTTCACTTTGATCCTAAGGGGCCGTTTACCAAACGCTTACCGCAAAGTGTCACCACTCTCACTTGCCTTATTGGGTAACATTCCCGGCCATCAAAATGGATTAATGGTAAGTGTTTATAACCCGATAAGAGCTTACCGGGTAAGAGTCATCACCCTCACTAACCGGCCAAGACTCTTGATCCTTGCCATCCCTCTTACTGGGTAAGATTCTTGGTCCTTGTTATGTTCAACCGATAAGGTATTGAACCCGTAGGCGCTTACTAGGTAAGTACTTAGTAAAGGCCCCCTGTAGGAACCCATATCCTCTTTTATAAGTAATTAATGCTTTTGAAATGATAAGATCGGAAGCAAATAAGCATCAAGTACAAGAGACTATAAACAGTAAGCAATAATGATGAAGGAAATACAAACAGAAAGATTGGCTATCGTCATCATCATGTATTGATTGATTTGGAGAATATGAATTACACCAAGAACACAACATAGTGTGTGAAAAGATCTCACAAATCACTCTCTCTCTAGATTGTTACTTGTAAGAAGATTCGTTATCAAATTTGTACTAAAAACGTAAACAAGTGACCTATTTATAGCCTAAAATAGGAAAGTCAAAGCATCCTCCAATGAATGAGATCACATGTAAAGGTGCAATAAGTGCTTCATGCTGAGATGGCAGGCTATGATAGGATGGAGACACTTAGAGAAATCTTCGATGTTGAACATTGAGCAATGGTACAGAGGTGGACCAGAGGTTCTGCCTTTCCGTGATTAGTTTCTGGTTGAGCTGTAGGATTTGAAAAAGGAATTGATCATGATTTTGAAAAGGGGGTCGTAGTGACTAGGCCCGGGCGACTGTTTACCAAAAACACAGGTCTCCTCAAAGTCGTATTCATGATATTGATCAGATTCAAGATCATCGATAGAGAATGCATTCATTGAATTGACAAAACTTCTGGATAGGTATCCTACAACTGAACCGAATTCTTTCATCTGTATCTAAGGAGTCTCTACTCTGGCTCTGAACAGATAGAGATTTGCAGTTGAACATAGAAGCTCTAGTGAAATCTATGGTGATAACAAGGGAACTATTAGCATTGCTAATAATCTTGTGCAACACGATTGAACCAAGCATGTGGAAATCGATCAACACTTCATCAAGGAAAAGATTGTATCAGGTATAGTTTGTTTACCCTTTGTGCCAACTTCCCAACAGAAAGTTGACGTTTAACAAAAAGTTGACATCCTTAAAAAGGGTATATCTAAACCAGGTTTGGATTCTTGTATAAGCAAGTTGGGTTTGAAGGATATCTTCAATCCAACTTGAGGGAGAATCTTGAATAATGAAAAGATTATGAGAATCCTTCCTAGTTTAGATTCCTATTCCATGGTAGATCTTACTATAATATCTCTAAGGGAACTTTCTAGCGTCAACGATTTTTCTCTTTATTATTATTAGTTGTAAATAGTTGCTGTTTAGGTTATTGTAAATCCTACAAATTCAATTGTACTCATGATTTTAAAAAACGGTTGAGGCGTGCCTCAAGGCGACGCAGCCAAAAAAAAGTTCTTGAGGCGTCGCCTCTCACTCCTTGTTTGGTAGTGTGTGGGAGGCGTAAGCCTGTTTAAAGATGAGTTGAAGTGTTCTTATACATGGTGTGTAAGTCCTTGTTAGTGGTATATATTCTAACAGTTTCAGTTTCTGTATTTGTTGTTAGTGGTAGTGTCAGAAAAAAGTATCCCACTTTGAAAAACATTATATATATTATTCCCGACTTATCCAACTCTTTCACAGCCCCATCGGTGGTAGTGGCAGCTCAGCATGATATATATTTGTGTGTATATCTAGTTCGGTGGTAATGGCAGCAGCTCAGCATAATATATATATGTGTGTAATAATCTGGTTGTAGTGGCAGCCTAGCATAGTGTATGGTGGTGGTGCCAATGCATGTCATATTCGCTCTCTCACTCTTATCACAGTTCCACCAGTGATAGTGGCAACGCAACATGGTATATAAATACGTTGTCTGATGGTAGTGGCAGCCTCTAGCAGAGTGTGTATATATATGTGGTGCACGGTGGTAGTGTCAATATATATAATATATATATATATATTGTCTGTATATATAGTGTTTATGTATTATCGTCCAGTGATTATAATTTGTGTATATATAATATTTTGAATTTTATTTATTTTCCGCCTCAGACCGCTTTGAGGGTTACGCCTCACGTACCTAAGGGGAAAACGCCTCAAGGCTCGTTCCCCTTCTTTAAAACCTTGGTTGTACTATACCAATATTCTCTAGGAAGAAATTAATATTTTCCAACAAAGCTTACAAAAAGGAATGCAGGAACATAGACTGGTTGTGCAAGTAATTATATCAAGTGGTCTCTACATACTTCTTGCATTAGATCTTCTGTATGATATATACTAAATTTACTAAATTTTGTACGACTGTAGTGTTTTTTTTTTTTTATGTAGAATTTCATATATATGATGAGACAGGTACCTTTCAGATTTTGTATAAGAAGCTGTTTGATAGTGTTTTCCTTATGCATAGTTTTGTTTTTTATTACACTAATGCTGTTGATTGGATGCTGTAGTTATCCTGATTAAGGCTGTTGATCATAACCACCTCTTAATTTTACAGTTACACAGGCGCTTGCAGAAGCTTTTTGGGGTCAAGCATGAATTGGATTCAGGATTTTCATGGTCTCTTATTCGTCGATCTGATTTATTAACAGATGCGTCTTCTATAGAACTTTCTCACAGGGTGGAATGCAATTCTATGCTCGCTGTTGCAATGTCCGTTATGGATGAGTGTTTTTTACCGATTGCTGAAAGGAGAAGCGGGACCAATTTAATTCGTAATGTAGTCTTCAATTGTGGGTAAGTTGTAGACCCTACTTGTCTATATTGCTGATTATATTAGCACAAAAGGAATTGAGAAGAAATTAACAAGAAAGTACAGAGTGGGCTGCATTCATGTAGAAATGAGGTTATGCTTTGACTAGATTCTGCATGATTTTGTTAATTAACAGTTTGTGTTTTAGCATGTTAATTTTAATGATAATCATAATGATGTTGAGAGTGATTTTTTTAGTATAAATAGGGATGCTGTAGATGGTAGAGGGCATGCAGAAAATTAGTGGGTTTTATATGGGAGAGTCGCCTCTCAAATGCTAGTCTGTTCTTCACTTTCCTTCTTGATTGAAGCATTTGGCAGTATCCGTTATCAATTGGTTTCTATTTCCACAGTTCAATCTGTTCGGTTCATAACAAATTGATAAAAAATGTATTTCCACACTGGAGGGTTCAAATCGAAAAAAATAATGTTCTACCCACCATCCCGAATCTGGAAATCTAGGGTTCCTTCCGGATCCGGACCCAGAACCGCCGGACGTTTACTTCTAACTGCCTCAGATTCTATCACAGGGGGATTCGTCCACAATCCCCTTTACGACTGAGAGAAGGGAGGTGAATCAGATGATTGAAACATTTTCGATCCGTTATTCACTTAGAACTAGAACGGAGAAACTCAATTGGGTCCAGATTCGGCCCATCCACAATTAGTCCTGGAGAAGTCCCAAGGCAGCCTGAGGCCGTTTTCGACCAAACTTAGACCTATTTTGAGATTGACGACTCGCCAGGCTCTTTCCGTTCACAGGCCAATCTTTCGATCTGCAAGAGAACGAGTCGAGGAGGAGTTACGAGGCCGAGTATCGATATACGAAGAGTGGGAACACACAATTTGAAGGGTCGCATATGGGAGTGGATCGATTAAGTCCTCAGACTATTGAATCGATGTTGAAGGAGCAATCTCAATCCACAAGGGTTCAGGTAATTACAAATCTTATGGGGCAAAATGTTAGAACCCATAGTCTAAGACGACAATATCTCCACTTTCTGATAAAACCCACGATGCTATAAACCAAAGCTTAAACACAGCCAATTTTAGAATTAGACCTATCTGTATCTAAAACTATCTTTGAATTCGAATTCAAAACCAGACCTTCCAGATCAATTACTTCAATCGTTTCATAGGCTTAACTGGTTAATTTCTTCTCATTTACTGAGTTTGAATAATGTTGAATTGTTCACAACTCGCTTCTCACTACCTTGTTTCTCGAGTTCTCGATTGAAGACCAAGAGAATATTCCAAAGAAGGGGGCAAAGCTTGCTGTTTACTTGGGAGCAACTTACAGACTTCCTGACGTTCTAGAGTTTCTAATCCTTACGGGAGATTATTTATACTGTATGGATCATGAGAGATTTATTCAACATCACAGAGAAACCAATGTTGGTATTGTTGTAGCAGCTCTGCTAATGGATGAAACATGTGCCACTGCAGTTGGTCCAATGAAGATTGAACTTGTTGGACAGGACTACAAAGATGGGGATGATCAATACTTTCTGGAGGTGCTATAGTGTCTTTCTAAATACATCATTGCACTGGATATATGGGTTGACAATGCAACACTGATGTATCAATTGGGAGAGGTTTTCAATGTCGTGTCATTATAGAATAGCTTTAATCTGTTTGCTCTCAAACACTTTGACAAGTTCGATTCACAACTATGGAATGCTAGTATGGTAATACATCACCTGTCAATGTGTATCAAGCGACTTCAGTGGCTGCTGGCTGGGGGGAAGTGTAAACACGAGTTTCTCTATTTTTTCTACCCACCTTTAGGACAAGGTGGTTCTTTGGGAGCGGGTTAATGTAATGCACCCATCTAGAGGCCCGATCCCATTCCTAAAAATATTCTAGAATAGTTAAAAAGGGTAGTTTGGGTACTTAGAATAATATTTTAGTATAAACAATGATGTTGTAGATGGTAGAGAGCATGCAGAAAATTAGTGGGTTCTTTTCGGTGAGTTCTAGTCTCTCGAATGCTAGTAATTACTTGTTTACCTTTCTATTAATCGTACAGCCTATTACTTCTTTCCTTTGATCATGTTGTTAACCAATTGAGGCTTGGTTCATAACATATTGTTCGCCCCCTTGCTATGCCTGCAATGACATGTGCAGTGAATATTGATCCTTTGGTGTGTGAGGAATGAATAAGGGCTTTGCATTTGTGGAAAGGGCGTGAGGAACCACATATTTGGTCAAATAGAGTATGATACTGTTAGGTGGTTGGAATATGGGGTTGTTAAGTTGGGAGTTCAAGGAGCAAGTTGATACCTTAAGTAGAAAGAAGCATTGTAACACCCTAGTTTTTTTTATTTGCTAAATCTCTATGATCAAGCCTTAAATACAAGATTTTGTAAGTAAATTAAGTACTCTTAAAAGAGTCCAACAGCTGTAGCATTTATTAAACTATCATATTTATAAGGCAAATAACTTACAAAGCTACTTATAAACAAACAACATGAGCCACAAAAATCTTATGACAAAGCAAGCCTACTCTTTATGACAAAGCAAGCTAGTTATGAGTTGTCAAGGCTACAAGCATGTGTTGGCAAAATTCATGATGACAAGCAAGAGTTAGAAGCATAACAAATAAAAGCTAGAAGCATGAGGTGTCAAGATTCTTTTATCCTAAAAAATGAGGTGTTAAACTATCATAAGAGTGCAATTTTCGGAGCAAGAAGAACAAGTAACTAATGCAATGAAATTTACCTATAAATAGTGACTGAAGTGTTACCATTAGTTCCATACCAAAAATAAGAAATCTATCTCTTTATACCTAATCAAGCTTGAAGATAGGAATTAAAGGAAAAGCTAGGCATAGTCAAGGTGAGTACGTTATGAGATTTACTGGGATACATACATGCTATATATCTAAATGTTTTATGTATGAAAGAGTATTGCCATATCTTCTTGTAAAAGTTATGTTATGATTATGTGGCAAAGTACACCTTATATGTCATGATGCACATGTGGTATATGAAAATTTTTATACATGTTAAGTATAACCATTTAAATATCCAACGTACGTGATATAGAAAGAAGGTACGTCCTGCAAACGGACCTTATTGGGCAACCCTTATGTGGACTTGAGGTTAAAAAACCTGTGAGAAGTTGTTTTACCTAACATGTAACCATGAGATCTCAAAGAAATATTTTTATACATGAATGTTTATAAGATTATGTTAACTATTTGGAAAGAATGTTTTATCATGAAACCATAACTACTCACTAAGCTTAAAGCTTATGTATTCATGTATGTATCTCAGGAATCAAGGAGTAGGAACAAGCTGAAGTATTGTTATTCTAAGATGTTAGAATATTATAAGTTGTAAATTTCCGCATTTTTACTGCTGTAATAACTCTATTATAATGAAATAGAAGTTTAAGATATGAAGTTTCTTTCATTCACTTGTACTAAGGGCAAAGGACGATACCCTCGGGAACGCCATGTTACAAGCAATATTGCATGCATCCATAAAAAAAGCAGAAGATGTAAATCTGAAGGAAATTGAGGGCAAAATTTTATCTTGTGGTACTTAAGGATAGATAGCACTAGGAAGCTTCGGCATCTTAGTAGACAAGATCGTAACTATGAGGTAACGGAATCTAAAGACAAAAGGATTAGAATCATATTAGTGAAACAATTGTTGTGGAGGAGTTTATAGATTTCGTTAGTGCGCATGTCCATGAATCATTGAGAAGGCTAGTGAGAAGTTTTATATAGGGGATCTTAATGGTGATGAAGTTGGTAGAGATGGTAGGGCTTTAAGTATTGCAATAAGAATCAAGGAGGATCAATATTAGTTTTTCTAGTAGGTTATGACACTTCCTTTTAGGGAAAGTGACTCGCCTAAAAGCCTATAGTAGTGATTAAACATTTAACCATGGGAAACCCTTTAAAAAATAAGATCCATAGCCGGTTACAGTTGATGTTTTTTCTAGTATAAACTAGAGGTACACTTGTAATTTACTTGTGAATAATTGCTTTGTTTCTCCATTCCCTCCCACGACAACAGAAGTATCACGTTTTGATTTTATTTTTCGGTTGTTTTAGGGACTATCAATTGATTGTTATTGCTTATGGGGTTTGATTGTTGAGGGTGGTAACAAGTGTGTCCCAGACTCTTAAGGCGACAAATGCAGGACCCACAATGCTTTCATCTCCTCCCCTATGTTATGTTGCTTTAGCTGATCTACAATGTCCTTGAGGTTGTGTTATTGCTCAATCATGTTTGACTATTTCCATGTTTAAGTTTTTCTGACTTATTACCCGAATAACTTTGTTCTGTTATATGTTGCGGGTCACAGGTTTGACCTTCATCCATAGCTCATAAGCATTGGTGTAACACTTACCCGGTAAGCGCTTCCCGGTAAAATCTAACACTATCACTTGCTTTACCGAGTAAGATTTTAGTCCATCAAAATGGCATCTATGCAAAATTTATCCGGTAAGCGCTAACCGGATAAGAGTCGTCGCTCTCACTTACGGGGTAAGACTCTTGGTCCTTTTCTTCGCACTTACTGGGTAAGATTTTTGGTCCTTGTCATATTCATCCATCAAGATAATGTGACTAGGTAAATGCTTACCCGGATAAGCGTTTTGTAAACGGCCCCTTAGTGTCGACATGCTCGAACACACTATAACCAATATAATGGTCAACGAATTTTGGTTCATTAATAACCATTAGCATACAATCACCACTGCTAGTTGCTGCTTAGCATTTCATCATGAGCTTTTAGTACAAGTATTTCTCTTTCGTGTGCTTTAATATTTCACTACATGAGATTTTGAAGCACATATGAAACTTTGATGGATTTGAACTTGGTTCTTCGGACTTTTATCTTTATTGATTAAGATGAGCAATGAGAAAATATGAGGAGAAAACACAGCAGTAATTTCATATAGTGACATACGCTTATAGATAGACATCTCTATTAGGCATGTCTTTAGATGATGTTGGGGCGTTAAACACGCCCGAAAACTAAGTAGTGGAACCTAAAAGGAGGTAATACAAGTATTTAATGATCGATGGTTAAAGAAAGTAGTCGGATACCCATGAGTAAGCTAATACAATGCGGAGAGATAGAATCATGCATTCGAATGGCGTAGCGAAGAGGTGGCTGAAAATCGTAGAGAAAGTAGACATCAAGCGATAATCATATTATGGTGCAAGGAGGAGCCGAGGAGGATTGAAGTTATCAAGGAGAAAAAAGGATGCTATAAACTTTTATATGGTTGCAAGAGTGTAGAGAACTTAGATAAGTATATACTAGCCAAGTGGGAACCTAAGAAATTGATAAGAGAAGCTAGAGGTAAAATAATGCAGCTACAGAAAAAGAAACTTGGAACAAGAGAGGGAAAAAGAGGTATGTAAGTTGGCTGAGGTAAGAGAAAGGGGAAGTATAGACATAAGTCACATCAAAACACATAGGATGAGAGCCAAAAAAAAGTTAACAGTACAAGGAAACGGTTAATTTGATAACTGATGATACAAGTACGATTATATGTAGATTAAGATGGCTGGAGGTGAAGGAAGCATGTAGAATTAGATGGTTGGAAGTCGGAAAACCTTTATGGTATTATTGTAATAGAGGTTTCGAATGACTAGAGGATAAGCATACTATCACTCACTTGCTAACGTAATCCATAAGGAAGGAAGCATGCTTATGAATGGAGGAAACTTATTTCCTCTCAGTTTAAAATATAAAAAGATTCAAAATATGGCAAATTTATGAGGGATCAGATGCATAAGCCATGCAACGAAAGTATGTAGTGGGTTATTGAGCATAGGTGAAGTTCCAGATAAGATATATTGAAAATCAATTGCCTTTCATGTCTGGAGGATCAATGACAGACTGTTCTTGATTTGATGGCTCATGTGAGATGTAAATTAGTCGAGAAAATGATTTGCATTTGGTGTTCATTGATCTAGTGAATGCATACGAATATGATGGCATCTTAAGGGAATGCAATTAGTTGGGCTCTTCAGAAGAACAGAGTTCCCATGGCATTTATTAAAGATATGTATGACCTTGTAGTAGCAAGTGTGAAAGCATGCGATGACTATACATAAATTTTCCCCAACCCATATTAGCAAAGGGTTTCACCCAACAGTGATCATCCTTAAGTTCTTATCATTTAACTTGTGGATGAGCTCAAGGAAGATGTACAAGGTGATATACTGCTGTGTATACCGTATTTTCAATGACAATATAGATTGAGGAGACTAGATAAGTGTTAGGATCCAAGCGCTTACCACTACTCCAAAAGCAATTGCTGGTGGAGAAGGCGCAACTTATTTCCTTATAGCGTAGTAGCCAGCACCACGTTTCGATTTAGGAAGATGCTGGTCAATGACCCAACAATCCCCCCCCCCAGCATCTGCCAGCACTAACAAAATCTTCGCTAGAAGTCAATGGCTGCACAGCATGCCTTTGGCATTATTATGCATTCCATGGGATTCGAACCCGTGACCTGCTCTGATACCACATGTTAGGATCCAAGCGCTTACCACTACGCCAAAAGCAATTGCTGGTGGAGAAGACGCAACTTATTTCCTTATAGCGTAGCAGGCAGCGCCACGTTTCGATTTAGGAAGATGCTGGTCAATGACCCAACAGTAAGGAGTTGATGTGAAGTTGGAGTAATACATTGGAAGCTACATCTTGTAGCCTCAGTTTGAAACTCTGACTATGATGTAGTTTTACATACAATTTCATCTTCAGTGGTGTGAAATATGAAACAGAAACTGCAGTAAGCATATCCTGCAAGTACTTAGGCATGAAACTTATTATTTTATTTAGGATGGCATTCTAGAGAAGAATTGGTAGATTGATGAGGATGTTAGTCATGCGATGAGAGGAGACTGGATGAAATGGCAACAAACTTCTAGAGCGTCGTGTGGTCAGAACTGTTTTGGTAAAATCTGCTATTGAGTTATTAAACACTCTCAATTGCCATGAAAGAACTTGTTCTGGTTTGTATGTTTCTCTGATGCTTGTACCATTAACCTTGAATTTACCAGGCAAGTTATCACAAACTTCTTGCTTTTCTCATTAATTTTATGTTGCATCTAAAATTCTGAATCTAAACTGATATTTCATGATCTTTCTGTAGATCAAACCTTGGCCGGTTAAACTACAGTGGCTTCTCTACAGCTATTCTGGAGAGGGGGGATGAAGTTCTTTGTGCTGCATCCATCAGGTAGGGTGCGTATTTTGCTCTGTTGTGTAGTTAAGTGGAGTAGAAATGTAATGTGTTTGGTCTTCATTGGAACTTGTAACCTAGTTTTTTATCATATGCTCAGGATCCATGGAACCCAGCTAGCAGAGATGCCCTTTATTGGTACTCGTCATATATATAGACGCCAAGGGCTGTGCCGTCGGTTATTATCAGCTATTGAATCGGTAAGAAGATTGTTTATGATTTCTTGGATTTGTCATTGTCATGTTATATACTATGTATTTCGCAGTGAGTAGCATTCCCAGAGTTCCATTTCTGGATTCTACTTTTTTTTATCACACAACTGTAATACATCGGTTGCTTTTCATTCAAAAGTTACTGAATGGATGTACATAGGTTGACGCTATTACTGTGCCAAGGGTTCTTTCTTTTCTTTACTTGGTGTTTCTGCTTGTTGGGTTTGGCAGTTGTCGATTCTATCAATTTAGATTTTAAAACCATTGCTAGAATTGTAATCTATTAAAGTAGTAGGCACAGATAGCAATCAATTATCATCAACTATGCTGTTAATTAAAACAATATAAACCAATAAACTAAAATAAATGTAGAAAATTAATGAATTGAAACTGTTATGATATCCAGTTCACTTCCATGGTCAACTATCCCCCACAAGTAATACTCACTTCGAGCTGATTAGCTTTCTGTTGCATAAGGCGTGGCTCATGCCATGGCGACTTGAGGCATGCCATTTTTACAAAGCATGACTTTTACCTTTCTTTAATACTTTTTAAACTTCTAATTTTTTTACCTTTTGTGTTCACTTTTAGCTTAGTTTTTACACTTCTATGGATTTAGTTAATTACCTCACTCACGGATTCATTGATTCACACACACACACACACACGTCATGGACTCATAGTTAAGACGAAGTTATAAAACCCTTCCAACCAGACTCTTTATGTGATTATATATATTTAACTTTTCTTATAATATGAATTTAAATCGTTTAACATCATTATCTCATTGAATAATTTAGAAAACATATATTATATATATGACATACAAATTTCTTGCATTAGGTCATGTGTTGAAGAACACCACGTCCTCGCCTTGGCACGTAAGGTTTGAGGCTTGACCTCGCCGTCACGTTAGGTCTCATGCCATTTAGAACCTTGATATAAACTAATGTGTGTACTTCACCACGTATGCACTTCTGGTAAATAAGCAGAAGCTACTTGGAGCATGTACTAACAATGAAAACAATCAAAAGATTGCTTAGTGTTTATTAATTTTCGAACAATTCCAATACCTATTGTATCTAATCTTTCCTTCTTTCCTTCCTCTCATGGAAACTTCTTTTCTACCTTTTTTTCAGGCTCTTTCCTCCCTCGAAGTTGAGAAATTGATTATTCCTGCTATTGCTGAACACATGCATACATGGAATGATGTTTTTGGTTTTCATTCATTGGAGGAATCACACAAACAGGAATTGAGGTCTATGAATATGTTAGTGTTTCCTGGGACTGATATGTTGCAAAAGCCACTATTGAAGCGCATTCCCAAGGGTAAGATATATAATTTCAGGGAACGGTTCAGCACAAGACTTGTAGATTTTGCAGTTTTTTTCTAATTGTTTTCTGCTTCTATGTATTTAGACTTAATTTTGTATTGTCTAGGTAACAATGCCATTGAAGTAGGCGGCTACATGGCCTTGTCCGGAAAATCTGAGTTGATTTCTTCTGACAAAACGGTTGCTACAGATTCTGGTTTTCAAGATCCTTTGGAGGATGGTTTTATGGTGGAGACTCTTCCCATCAATTCTCCTGTTAAAGGGGCAATACTAATGCCCGTATTGGTAAACAAATCTGAATTGGTTTCCAGTTCCTCTTGTGGTAACACAGACGATAGTACAAACATGCAATATCGCAATGGCAATACTGGACAATTTTCTCAACCCGATCCTAGCTGTGAAACTGCTGATGTTGATTCACATCCAACCCAAGTCCCTGGTGTTGCATCACATGCTACTGTTTCTTCTGATATTCCTTGTGAACCTGAACTTCAACTTTCAGTGTCTTTAGATCCATGTTTCAACTCCAACGTAGAAGAATCTACGACTCAAGTCCCTGCGGGTGATCTTGTTTCCGAACTCCAGTTTCCTGGAAAGGAATCTGTTTCCATCCGCGATCTCAGTTTAGAAGGAATTGGTGTGCAGAATCGCAATGGGACTAATCTACTTTTAGCCCAAGTCCATGATCCTTCACATGATAGAGTCCCAACTGATACCCCATTCAGATCAGACCTCCAAGTCCAAGTCCACTTAGAGAAGGAATCTTTTTCTTCGGTGGATGCACATAACGACTCCATGCTGGAAGAAATTTATGTGCAGAATGGCTGTGAGACTACTAACAACACCAGTGATATCATTTCACTTCAAGATCAAGCTCCTAAGGCACCGTCCAACAATAGCATTTCTTCGGATACACTTGGTGAACATCAATTCCATTCCTCTGGACTGGAATCTCTTGAGACTGGAAAATACGTGGTGGTTAAAAACAAGATTCAGATTTCTGGAGGGAAAGAAGGTTCAAGTGAAAGGAATACAAAAGAAGACGTTCTTGAAACAGGAAACCATGGTGTTAAATGGAGCATAGATTGAGCATATACAAAACCCATGTACCTCAAGGGTGTTATAGTAACTTCATCACTCTTTTTTTGTTTTTCTATGTTATGTTCGGTTGAAAGGGTATATTTACTTGTTATGTTGATTCAAATGTTCGAATCCCTCCCCTTGTACGTACCAAGTAACAAATCTTAATATGTTAATCCTCATACCAATTATTGTCTTTTTAATGCATCAATTTCATCTGAAGTAGGTATGTTGGAGATGTGCGTTTGGAACCCACCGGATCGGTTTGGACTTGTTAAGGTCGGATCAGTTTGGGATGGGATCGTATGATCCTGTTATACAATTTTCCACAAGGATTGGTTTAGGGGACTGGGAAAAAAATTATTTTTAAAATTTTTGTGCCTCATGAATTTTTTTAGAATCTCTTATCAAAAAACTGAGGTACATAAGATATGTATTAATCATAATATTATATAAAAATATCAGAAAAATTCAATGGACTTTGTCAACTGAATGTGTAAATCTTTGGACCATTTTTAACAAATAAGTCTGAACTTTTTAAAATTAATTAAATAGGTATTTTTAAAAAAAAAAGGAATACAGGCAATCGGTAAGAAAGGTGATTAAGATGATACGGGTCTATCGGCAAATATCTGTGAATCTAAAGGTATTTAAGCCAATAAGGAAGGTGGAAAGTGAAGTCTGCAACGTAAAATCCCAACTTGTAACTCACTTTTGGTTTGAAGAAATAATTTGAAAGGATTTGGATTTTGTGAAAGGATTTAGAATTCGAGGGATTTGACTTTAAAATAATTTGAAATCTTTTATGTGTTTGGTTTGATGGATTTGAAATAGAATGAAATTCAATTTTTGATAAATAGTTTTTAAAAACAAATTATAAATAATTAAACCACCTTCTTATTAATGAATTATTAGAAAACAGCAATCATAAATAGTTATTTTTCTTCGGTTTAACTAGCATTGCATGAACATCATATACTAAGATATACTGACATGCATCTTCTCTCTGTTTCAAATTCTACTGTCTATTTCGTCACTATAGTTTATTGAACTCTTATATTTTTGATGCTACAATCTTCATACCATTCTTTACCATTTATTGTTGTTCCATTCTCATGATTTACAACAATTCATTGAATTTTAGTCCCTCATACTTAGAAAATAAAAGTTAACATAAGGGACATAAGGGCAAATTGCTTTAAAAAGCAATATACTTTATTTTGATTTTTATTTTTGGTAACATATTTTAAGACCTTCACTTTGGTACCTCAATTATAAAACATCAAACTTTTAAGTATCTGGATAACCTACATAACAGATAATCGGTCAATTTAAATGACATGTAATTTTTTGATAATGACACGGAAATAAAAAATGATATGGAAACTAAAATATTTATTTCTAAGATTTTCGATTTTCCTTTTCTCCCCCCAAATCATCCCACGACAACAAGAAACACCCTAAAAACTAAAACGTCACCCTCCTTCATCGTCACCTCTCCCTTATCGTCAAGACCACTTCGTCTGAACAAAATCTATGGGATATTAGGGAGCAAAATCTGGATATGTATAAATCCTTCTTGAACAATGCTACATAATGGGCGATACCATAGTAATAATATGATTTTTTTTCTTGAATAAGAGGGATAGAAAAAGTTATATGTTGTTGGTTATATAATCCATTTCTTGTCTTTCAAATTTAACTCTTCTTTTCTTTGAATAAGAAGGATAGGAAAGTTATATTTTGTTGGTTATATAATCCATTTTCTGTCTCTTTCAAATCCACTAACTTGCAATATGAAGATTAGTCTAACGAAAATAGTAGGCTTGATCTTGATAAATTTTGCTTATGGTTGATGATATTAGTCTTGATCTCATATTTCATAACTCACTTTTGTTTCACCAACAGCAAGAAACATGAGGAAGGGGCTTCTACTAGTGATGATGACATTGGAGGTCCAATACACCTGAATTAAGATTGATTCAATCATGTGTTTTCCAATGTTGATCAAGATGACGTTGCTAGTTTAGATCATCTATCGAACGAATACATCATGTGATGCAGTTGAGAGTGGAGTTAGTGAGTGTTTCAACTCATTAATTTTTTCAACAAGAAGGAAACCTATAATAACAATGCTAAAGAGATAAGATTGACCACTACGGGAAGATTTGAAAAGATGGCCATGAAAGTAGAGAAATGGAGTGGTGACATTTGTCCGACATTCAAAAAGAAAGTAGATTTAAACAAAAGATCAGATGAGGTATGTTTTTTTTTCCTTCATAAATGTGATAAATTGTTTACTTGATATGTTTATTACATTACTATTATTTCTTAGGTTATGGCATGTTGTTCCAAATGGTGGAACTTTCTTTGAAGTAAAAAATGGGCTTGATGGATCGGTCGATGCTATGGATAAAATTACATTCACTAGTAGGATTTGGCAAGTCTCTGAAATTTCATGTGCTCGTGAAATTGCGGTAGCTATCTATTTTATTAATTGGGACCTAGATAAGTATGTATCTCACCGTTTCTTCAAAATCATGTTTGTTGGTCCTAAATGGATCTACAAATTTTTTGAAGGTAATAGTTTGAAGGGGGAGAGAGAGAGAGAGAGGGGGGGGGGGAGGGGGAGGTTTACTTTGCAAATTACGTTATTTGTACTAATCATACAAATCTCATTCAACCGATCATAATTTNAGGGGGAGGGGGAGGGGGGTTGAATACAAACACACAAAATTATCACTTTGTAAGTTCGTTTATTGATAAAAAAAGGTCAATACAAATTTATAGGTTGTTGCAGGAATAGATAAGGTAAACACCTAATGTAAACAATCTAAGAAACACACAGTTAAACACAAAAAAGATTAAGAAAAAGAAAGAAGAAAGTAAGAAGAAGAAAGCGTTGTTAGGAAGAGAGATCTTCTCAAGCTATTTATATCCATTACATTTAATGCAAGTCAGAGGGTACAAGCCACGTGACAAACTTCTAGTAAAGAATGTTAAGTTCTAATTTCATGTTGTATTCAAGCCTTTTTGTTGTAAATACCCTTTGGGTATAAATAGTTAGCTTGCTATTTTTTTTGTAACTATTACTTCATTTTGTATCCTAACCTTTGAAGAATATATCATTTTAAGCTTTCAAAGATTATCTCTCTACATTTATTGAATCTGCCATTGTTGATTTGTTTACATGTTGATTGAATGATTAATCTGAGATTGTCAGAGAGCTTATCCTTTGTCTTTAAATATCCAGGCTTTTGGCAGCATATGAACAATTGACTTTCATAAAGTTGGTAAGCATGTTTGGAGCAATAAAGTAACTCTATATGCGTAGCTTTAGATACCTTAAAAGGACTCCATGTTTGGTCTTTGGTATCCAAGAAACTCTGGCTTTGAACTTATTGCATACATAGATGCAGATCATGCGGGTAGCAAGCTTTGATAGGAAGGGTATATCTAGAAGCTGTCAACTTCTTGGAGACGAGTTGGTAAGTTGGACATCTAGAAAATAAAATTGGGTTTCAACCTTGTTGGTCCCGTTAGACACAAGATGTGTATAACAGTTTGTAGAAGGGGGGGGGGGGGGATGAATACAAACACAATATTTTCAAATTTAAAATATATATTGATAAGAGAAGATTAATACAGATTATACAAGATTGTTTGCAGAAAGATAAGGTAAGAAAAACCTATCTAAACAATCTAAAGTTTACCCACTTAATCTTAGCAAATAAGAAAAGATTTGTTGTTAAAGAAATAGAAGAAAGTAAGTTCTATCTGGGAGAGAACTTGTTTAGAATACAATGAAAAGGATTCTAACTTGCTCTTGAAGATGAGCGTATTTGTTCTTAGATGTGTGTTCTTTTCTATTGAAAAGAAATAGAAGAAAGTAAGTTCTATCTGGGAGAGAACTTGTCCAGACAACACTATTACCGGATAGTAAACAGTAAGCACAACAAATCAAGGAATTAACACTCTCCGGATAGCATAACACTTTATCCATATTCAAATCTATTGAAAATTTCAAGTCACAAGAATTAATCAAAGAGAAAACTTAATCAGACACAACCAAATCGGACAACACTCACAAATTCAATGACCGATGAGTGATGCTTATCGCTCGATGAACAAATTAAATGAGCGATGAGAAAAATTCTTCCAAAAAATCAGAAATCAGACTTAATCGAATGAAAAATATGCAGAACAGCTCAAAATTCAATCACAAACACAATTTTACCAAACAATTCACCTAAAACTCGATCAAAATCACGCAAATATTATTTCTTGATCAAGAACAGTTTGTCTGAAAAATCACATAATTCAACAATTTAGATACCGAATCAATTCAATTACAAAAAAATGTTTGAACAGATTGATTCCAAACAATATTACGCACAAAATTCATAGTAATACAACAATCAAACAGCTAAATTCGATGAATTCAGAATAAAAGATGAAGAAAATGTTCAAGAACTCTCAAGAAATATCAAGAACAATCCGAATTTTCCAGTCAAATTTCTGTTTCTGGGCAAATTTTTGAATTAAAATTGCTGTAGTTTGCTTTGATACCAATTGTAAATCCCAAAATCATCAATCAGATATTCAAAAAATCAAATTGAATATATGAATACTTGAGAGAATCTTGCCAAAAGTAAATTGTATTCAATTTCAAGAAGATTACAAAAATGAGAAGTCTTACCACTAATTACAATAAGAAACCTATTTATACCTACAAAGCAACTAAGAGAAATTTAGATGGAGAAACTCTTGAATACAACAATTAAGCACAACTTAAACCCAACATGGTACAATCCACGTATCAAGAGATGAGTTAAATGCTTGTCCTTGTTCATCAAATGTGGCCGACTTTTGACCATATATGAATAGTAGCTTCGGGTAGTTGGTAAGCACGTTTGAAGATAGAAAAGCAATCCATACTTGTACCTTTGTTTGGTGAAAGCATGGGGTGCCTGTTTTTGTGTAAGAGGATAAAACAGAGATTAATCTTGCTCGATAAGACTCTGATCAACTATAGAGTTAAAAAATTGAGGGCTTCTTTAGCTATAGTTGAGTCTTGATCAGATTACACATGTATATAGACAGTCTTGATATCATTGAATCTTGCTTTAGATCATGATTAGACATATCTCTACCTTCAACTACTTATTTGACATTGTTGAAGGTTTCTTTGAAGTGAGTTTTTGTCTTTAGATTTGGTA